AATTTCACAGGTTTTCTAGATTTAAAATGCTCGTGCTTAGGAAAATCAGCATTGCAGTTCTCTGTTGCATTACAAATTATTTCAATCTCATTTGATTATTGTGCAATTTTAAATATTCTTATCTTCAGCTTCCATATTGCTGACTTAGAATTATGATTAATCTTTTTTTCACTTGAATATAAACCAGATTCATGTGCCCACTTCCACTACCAAGAGTACCTTCAAAAGATTGCTTTAGAAACGCCCATGTGATCATGCACTTTGCAAGGGTACTTTGTGAGCAGTATTTGTTACAATTTATTGCACTCTTATCAAATTAACTAATTTTCTCAGAATTTACAGTAGAATGCCCTAAACTAGTAATTATAATTGGACCAGAAAAAGATTTTTAAAAAGAGGAGCTTAAAAATAAACTGTTGCATGATTGCTGAAAGAGTGTCTCAGTTTAGAGACAAATTTTAGGAGAAAATGCTCTGGAATAAGTGTTTCCTCTAAAGAGAAGGGCTTTGGGGTTTCTTTTTTTGCCAATGAGAAATGAATACCAGTGAGTGAAAGTGAAAAAAAGTAAAACTGTTATTATTATTCTACTTTAATTTGTCCTAAACCACAGACTTTATTCCACTTTTCTCTTATTTTAGGGGCTGAGTTTTTTTCAGTCAGGGACATCTATGCACCAGAAATAATTAAATTATTTATAGAAGTTTTATTTCAAATGCAGGCTTTTTAAACCTAGCTGGAAAGCTGGAAAATCAATAGTCATTTGTCCTGACATAGTCCATGTGAAAAATTAATTCAATCCTTATTTTGAAGACCAGAAGGTTAATTTCTAATATTTAAGGAAGAAACAGTCAGAGGTGGAGTGATCTCTGGGGTGCACGTCTTTCTAGTTACTAGATATTTGCCTCAGTTGTATACTGAAAATTAGAATCTGTTGGAATGTTTATTAATATCTATTTAATTGTGTCAATAGAAGAGTAAGAGACCTGACTAATCTTAAAACAATAGGTAAATATCCTTCCCTTGAAAACAGATTATACTGAAATTTATACGTGCACTACATTACTAAGTTGATGGCAAAAGTGAAGCAACTTGCAATTAGAGTACTACAGATAATTGTAACAAGCAGAGTATTGCTCAATTGTTCTATTTCATAATGAACATTTCTAAAATCCCATTAATCAGATCTGTGTATAGTTTCATATTTTCCCAGGAATGGGTTTAATTATATGTTACATATAATTATGTAACATATGTTTCAAAATGTGTAAGAGAACCCTGACAGTATTTGAGGATTTGAAGTTTTCAGAAAATCACTGGAATTTGATGATGATGTGGTGACACATCACAAACACTGAGTCAGCTTTTTTCAGAACTGTCCTGTAGTATAAAACTGGCATTCAAGTTCAGCATAAGGAAGTTCAATTTAGAGATCATTTTTTGGGCTGCAAAAATCCACTAGGCCAGGATGCTCAAAACTCCATTCAGCTGGCCTTGAACTTATGTTTTGATAACATCCAGTTATCTAGTTTTCTTATTAGGAAAGTCATGTCACTGTCATCACTTCTAGTTATGTAAAGTATCATTTAATTTAGAATAATTTTCTTTTTTCATAAGTGGGTCATTTTTTGTGAGCTTGTCATTTGCTAAAGTAGACAGTACTATTAGATAAGACATTTGATTTTCCTAAGTTTCTCTGCTAAAGTGTGTATTCAAAGTCCATAAGTGTTAAGATCCCTGCTTAACCTCAAGGTCTTGAATCTCCTAATAAAATACAACTTTTGTGCTGCAAATTTGAGATTTTTTCCCCCCTTTTTAGAACTAGAAGTACTGCATGAAAGAAAAAAGAATTAAGTTGCAAAAGGAAAAGGTGTTTAATTCACTGTTTGGTCTTTCTCAAAACAAAAATTTTAAATTAAAAAGTATGTTGCGTTAGCATTAATTGTGAAGTTTACCTGTTTTTCTGAAATGGAATATCAAAGCTGGATCTGCATTTCATTTAACCTCAAGCGATATGAATTGCATTTATTTAATTTGGGATTTTATAAAAACTTTAAAATAAAAGGTTTCATTCCAAGTAAAAGCTCTATTTTGAAAAGGACAGAATGTTATGTCTCATCCATTAATTAATAACTAAGTTTGATTCCACTGAGCATATTCGTCAGTTCTAGTTCTGGTCAGTTCTACTGTAATGTTTAAGTGAGAAGAAATTGTAGAATGAGTCAAACTTTATTGTTTCTGTGATATTTTCTGAAAAATCTCTTCGCCAGGATTTCGTCTCTTAGGAAGTTGAGAAGCTGCAGAGAAAAATGTAAATAATAATTATCTAATTCTCTTCTCCTCTGTTTGCTGCTTTGGAATGTGGTCTGGAGGTTGTTTACCAACAGGTGCATCTTTGATTGGTTCCATGTGAATTGTTTTTTCTTAATGACCAATCATAGTCAGCTGTGTCCGACTCTCTGAGTCAGTCACAGGTTTTTATTATTCATTCCTGTTAAGCCTTCTGATGTATCCTTTTCTCTGGAGTTTAGTGTAGTTTTAGTATAGCATTCTTTTAATATAATATAATAGAATATCATAATATAATAAATCAGCCTTCTGAAAACATGGAGTCAGATTCATCTCTTCCCATGTCCTGGGACCCTCACAAACACCGCACTTTATGATTCAAAGAATTCTACTCCACAGTAAGGAGCTGTAAAGTAAAGCACACCTTTATTGGCCTGGTCAGTGGGAACATGTGGCATGCAGGGGGTTGATGCCCGAAAGATAGGCTGGAAATAAATCCCCACAGACTGATGTCTGTAGAGCAGGTATTTGTTTATTGTAGCGCTGGTGGTGAGGGGGATATCTCCACCTAACTCACCCACCTTGGTCAAGTGCTGCGGTATGTTTATACAGTACTGCTTAGTGTTACTGTGTCACTGTAACATCATCACATACACACCAGAACTAATTTACATGGAATGATCTCATGGTTATTAGATAGTTCCTCTACACTGCGATTGTGCCTCCCCACTTCAGGCGTCATTGGGGGTCTTTGATGAAGGCTTCCAAAATCATCTTTGCGTCTGAACTTTTCAACTTTGTCTTCGGAGCACGTGCAATTACGGTGTTCCTTGGTCTATCTGGTCCTAGCCAGCCTAAGTTTTTTGTTTTGTGGCTAATTGGCTTTACATTTGCCAATTTCTCATTAGTACTATACTTACCTATCTCTGAAACTATCCATCTAGTGCGGTTTTTTCTTTTTTTGTCTATTCAGCATTAAGCAAGTAGTTAACTATATACTACCCATTACATTGTATAGAAAGTTTATATCAGGTTATCCTGGTATAAAAAGCTATGATTCAAGCTACATAAGTGTAAAAAGCTATTATTCAGGTTATATAAGTATAGAAAGTTGTGATTCAGGTTATATTGATATCAGATTATATTGATGTCTTATTACTCAGGTTGTATAAGCACCTTGTAACTTTGACCTAAGTTATATAGGTAATATGGTTAACACCACACCCCATGTGCATCTCTGCATGCTTATCCTACAGTGGTTATTTATTCATTTACAAGCTTGGCATCCAATGTGTCGGAGGCAGGAAAGCGACAAACACACAAAGGTCATGCAGCAGCGCCGTTTTATTGAGACCTCTCTTCCTTAGGTAGATCAGAAGGTCCATGAGGCAAATCTTCACTGGTCGAGCTAGTTGCCACCTGGCCAACCAGTCAATAGCAGCCTGAATCTCCAGCAGCCTAGGCTTGCTCTCCTAGGAGCCTTACTGGTGGAGTTACCTAAGTAAGCTAATTATGCAATCAACGACATTTCAGTTAAAAAGTTGGAATCATTTGTAACTGGGATGCCTACAGGCCGGCTGTAGGCCACCACAATGTTGATATCAGGCTATATTGATATCTTTGAACTCAGGCTATATAAGCACCTGGTAGCTTTGATCTAGGTAATATAGGCGTCATGGTTAACACCACACCTCCATGCTCATCTTACAGTGGTTATTTATTCATTTACAAGTTTGGCATCTGCCCTGTTTGTTCGTTTATCTAAAAGTTACAGTCTTAAGGGGTTGGGGTGTTCTGTAACTTGTGATTTTCTTATCTTACATTACAAACATGGCACACCATTCTTATCTAATACATTCATCACACCTATTTTGCTACTGCTTACTGGTATTACACATTTTATTGCTATATCAGTTATACTTCATCTGACATTGTGTAATAATTATGTTCCCATTCTTTTTTTGCATTTTTCTGTGCTTTGTGACAGCCCTTCTATTAGTCATAAAAATGGCAGCTAGTAAGCGTTCTTCCGTATCGCTTAGCGCATGCGGGTGAAGCCCGTGTCCTGCAGAAAAAGTGGTTAGCCATTAACTCGCATTCCTTTCCCTCATCATCTTGGTCCACTTGTTTTTTGTTTCTTCTCCAAGAGCAGTTAGTATTAGGCATGGCATCCACCTTTTGCTTATCATCTGGGGCTGGGCTTCTTTTTTAGCAAAAGCGGTTGCGATCTAGCACAGCTGGTAACACCTAACTTTTATTAATCTATACTTTATACTCAGGTGCTTGTGTTTAACGAGTCCTGTGTTTCATTTACCAGCTTATAATACAATAGAATTGTTTTTACTGATGTCTCAAAACTTCATGCTTTCAAAGTTTTGCTTTGTTTCTTGTGTGGTATATATTTTAAGGTAAGAAAAGTCTCACACTGTCACTCATGCTAAATACATCCCTTTATGTCTCCTGTTCATCACAGGCGATCCATCGTTTGCAGTGTTTCAGTCTGGTAATTTGCTCACTCAGAATCAGGAGATCATTTCAATGTATATTAATCTATATTAGGAAAAATTAAGTTCTATAGGTGAACAAGGGGACATAGTCCCCTTGAAATCTATACAGGATGTTGGAATTAATTAAATTTGGATTAACTAAGACACGTTTTCAGTTGCATTGGCAAATGTTTTGAAATTATCTCATGCTTTTATTCTTTGTGTTAGACAGGGCTATGAAGAACTGGAAAGACAGCTGAAAGAAGTGTTTAAGGAGAGGAGCAACATACTTCATCAACTGTTAAAGACTTCTAAAGAACTTCAGGGAATTAAAGTAAACCTTCAGGTTAGACTCTGTCTCAGTTTCTATAAGATTACTTGCTTACCTCTACATTTTCTTATAGGTGTTTTTTAATTACAAAGAATATGTTTCCTTTTAAAAATCATTAAATATGTGAATAATTCCTATTTTGTTTATTTTGTTGATCTTCTACTTAACATAAACCTGATGGTTTCATGGAAAATTTCATCCTAACGTGTTGGGGCCTTTGTCAACTCAATAAAAATAAAGAAAATATGGAAATAGAACATAGGAAAAGGAAGGGAAGGACAAGAAATATGCGGTATTAATGGAGCTGACACACATTTGAAGCACAGACAGACAACTCTTCCACTAATTAAAGTTGAAAAGAAGGGTATTTTATTGCAGTGCTGGACACGTGTGGAATCATTTCCAAATACATGTTCAAGGAGTTGCAGACTCCTGCCCTCTATTTATACAGAAAATGTTTTACATATCCAAGTGGTTCCTGAGGACTCATAATACATAATCATTACCTGCCCACTTCGTATTATAATCAGCTGAGTATCCGTTATGGCTGCACTGTTGTGCTCCCTTAATTGGGTTGGTGGGATTTTGAAATAGGGGAGTAGGCGTATGGGAAGAAGAAAGTCCTCTTCCTCATGGTGAACTTTTCACCCATGGCCAGTTAGCAGGACCTTTTGACCTGCTGGTCACGGTCCAAGTCTCTCTTACTGTTTGGTTATTCTTGAGGCAAGGTATCTCTATGGTCTCTGCTTCTTCACAATTGCTTCATCTATCCCTGTCACTTTTAGCTTCTCTTACTTAATATATTTGTTACTCTTTAACTAAGGTACATGATCTTAGTTAGCTAACTTAGTTTTTTGACTAATTTTAAAATCTTAGCTAAAATATGTGATCTTCTGCTATCCCAGTTATATTCCCAGCTGGCCCCTTGACTCACATTTGTACGGGCAGCTAACGCAAAGGATGGCCTTTGCTGTTGCAGGTTGGATCTTTGCTGCTGAATTCCATGCACTCAACTTAATTTAGTTGCTCAATTTACCTTTCTGACATGCCATCTACACAGTCTGACTGGATTTACTGCAGGGCATTGCTTTACAAGTTCAGCTGACAAACTGTGCTAGATGAGCCTGAAGTGAGAGCTGAGACTTCATTTAACTTCTGGATGCTGTGGTTAGACTGAAAGGTCAATAAAATAACCCTGAACTCATATCAGCTCCTCAGAGGAAAAACTAGATTGAAAATGCTTCCCTGGATTTGAGGTCCAGATATTCTGCTGAGGGAGCACCTCTCTTTTCCCAGCAGAGACTGTTAGTCTGGTGAAAACATTTAGACTCATTATCAATTGAATTTGGTCTCAGTATTTCATGCCATTTTCCAGGAAATTATTTTTCTGACAATACATCTTTGTCTTCATTGATGTAAGCTAGCTGGGAAAAATAAAAGGAGGAGAATACTAGTGGTGTGTATCAGTACTGTGCTATATTATACTATTCTGTTATATTTGCCTATGTTCCAGACTTCTCTGGTTTTAATTAATCAACCCTTTGATCTTTGAGGTATTTGGTTTGGGAATTGGGTTTAATTTGGGGTTTTTTTTAAAGTATTTATCACTTTTATTGTAGGCTTTTTCTTACTTTTTAGAGAAATATGCTCTCCTTGTAGGAAATTTATTTTAGAATGTAGCACAGTTGAAGGTAGTATTCAGCAAAATTACACTGTGAAATATTTTAGACTCAACACTGCAGAGATCTTGAAATGAGCAAAGAGCTGTAGTGTTATCTTCTGCATATACACACTTACTTGGTCATAAAGTTCTTGTGCTTTCAGTCACTCATCTGTTTCTAAATCTGCTTATTGTATTTATCTCTCATTCAGTATTTGAAAAATATACAGCTGTGTACAGTTAATTGTGTTTGAGCTACAGTAAAGAAAAATCAGAGTATTCTTCCAATTTTCTTAAGTGGTAATGTCTGCAATTCACCAAGACCATTTTATGGACGAGGGCTAAATACTTTCACAGATTATTAATAAAAAGGATCTCTTTAATGGAGTGTTTTTTTTTGTTTGTTTGTTTTTTTTTTGGTTCTTTTTTTTTTTTTGTTGCCATCAGTCTTTAAAAAATGATGAAGCATCAACCAAAAGTGATGTACAGAAACTTCTGGAGCTGAGCCAAAACCAAAGGTAAGACCCTCACTTCTTTCCTTCTCTTTCCATTTCCTGACTAAAAACTGTTTGACTAGCAAATTCCACCTTTCCTTTTACTGTATAGATAAATGGTGGTGTATTCCAGAGTCTGCTAGCAGTAAAATAAAGGCAGGAAATACTCTTTTTGAAACAAATTATGGATTTGCTGATATTTGACATACGGTAGGAAAATGTATTAAAATGGTATGGTGAGATATCCGCTAAAGAAAGGCATTTTGAATTTTAAAGGAAGACTTAGTAATGAAGTATTCCTAAAAAAATAAATTCAGGATTTTTAGAAAATTAAATTACTAAAGTGTCTAAATCTTTAAGTTTGGAGATGACATTTATTCAAACCTCTTAATTAAGTGTTTATGTGTGTAGACACTCAAAATTGCTAATCCATGTGCGAACAGGAATATTTCCAGTGGATATTTGTGATGAATGGAGTTAGAAAGAAGTAATAATCTCAAATTATTCATTGAGCACTTAAAAAATTAATTCCCATGGCTGGGAAGGCAAGTTCCAGCCTAGTCCTTAGTCTCAGTTTCCCTAGTGCTTCATTGTGAGTAAGTCTCATCATTCTGTGTCTCTTAATTCTTGAAATTCAGCCCAGCAAATAGCAACATCAGTACAATTTTACTAACCAGAAAACATAACTAATACAGCAACCACTTTTGCTGGAAAAATAGTATATAATGAGTGCATCTATACTTCATATTTCTCCCTAGGAAAAATGTTTAGTAAGAAAAATTATTAAGTTCATACTTACTTCATTGTTAAAAATGCAATAATTAAATTCCATGGCCATCTCACATCTACATTTGCTGTAGAAGTACACATGGAAGTACATATGAAATTGCATTGCTACATAGAAACTTTGTGAGAAAATTACCTTCATATCTTAAATACCCAATATAGAAGGTCTGCAATACAATACCAGTAGAATTTCTTATTTTTACTGTAATACATAACAATCTTTCAGGTATTCCAGATAAATATATTAAATTATAAATGAAAGACTTTAGCTACTGTCCTGTTTAAATACTTATGTGGCTTGGATATAACTGAAGGTGTACATCTCAGCTGTTCTTCACACAGACAAAATCCTTCATCATACATGAATGCAGTTTCGTGGTGGTTTGATTGTTGTGCAACTTTCCTTTATGAAATTGAGACATCAATTGATTAAAAATATTAATTGACTGTTTACTAAACAGATCTTAGTTGCAGGTGAGAAAATTGAGTCTGCTAAAAGAAAATTTTATTACATATTTCAAATATTTTTCCTAATCTCCTCTGTAAATCACCACTTGCAGTCTCTCAAGCTCCACCCAAAAATGCATGTTGACTTTTGCTTCTAAGGCATCCAGACATCCAGAGTGTACTGCGCAAGAACAGTTCCCAGAAAGAAAAAGTGGATCAGTGCAATCTGCTGCTGAGCAGCCCACTCCATCATTCAGAAGATGAAAAGTTTTTACAGTTTTTACAAGGAAATGCTTTGGGGCTACTACTGTTGCCAGCAGTTTACAGACTTACTAGATTTCATTTCCAGAATGGTGTAAATTTCAACATACGAAAGCGGTATTAAAAAGTGCCAGGGAATCTTCCTCATAGAATTTCACTAGGGAAAGGTCACAGTTTTACCTTTTATCTGCAGTAAATGAAGAAAAGTGAACGTGCTTAAATCTACTGCATTGTAGCCAAAATTCAAAATATATCCCAATATTAATGTTATGATCTTTCTTTGAACAAACATGAGCTGCAAACTTGGTCTGAGCGTGACTTTGATTATACTCTGCAATGCTGGATGATACAGTAAAGTTTAGAGTACTAGAATTTCTGCTTTTGTAAGTAAATGTTCTACTGACTTGAAAATAGATTTTTTAAAATTCCTTTTGTGCAAATTCTTCAATAATTCCCAAGTTGCATGTAAAACTTGGGTCACTTACTATGATGCCCCCAGTTTTATTCTATCTGTGTATCATCAACACTGTGAAATGATGGCATCTGTTAGTGCTGATGGTATATTGTTTTCATGCTGCTCAATCACTTTTTCAATTAAATCTGTTCTGTACTAGTGTTGCCGAAATTGCTGAAAGTATTGATGATTGAGCAGGTAGCAAGTTCTTTTAAAATTATGTGGTTTCCATTCAGTTTAGTTTTCACAGGGCTAAAGTATTATGTGTTACTGTATGTAAATCCAGTTTTGGCTTGATCTTCATTGAGAGTTTATCCATGGAAGCAGCAATCCTCCAAAAGCTCTACAGCTGTTATGAAATACGTCATTTTACTACTTTGCAACAATTCCAAAGTGTGTCACATGCTGTGGGTAGAAAATTCTCACAATTTGGGGGAAAATCTTTGTCTGAATCTGTAATGCAAAGGGTTTTCACTTGATTCATATAAAGCCCAATCCAAGCAATTATCCTGTTCTTTTTTCTTTTTATGCCAGAATCTTCTACTGAATTTTTTGTTGCTTGTCTCTAGAAAGTGCTGTATGAGGTTGAATTTTATCAGAGCATGATTTGTTTGTTTTACAGCAGATATAAACTAGTTCTTATTGATAATAGTATGTCTCAATGTCAGAGGATTTTCATTTGCCTACTTTCCTCATTTTTTTGGTGCCAATCATTTTTGTTAGAAATTATGCACTGGCAGATGTTTTGTACAGCAGGCCATTCAGCAGATATAAACAGTGGCCACTTTGTATCATAGATATTTTTTTTTTTTTTTTGCATTGGCACTATACTTCATGGAGTCATTATGATTTAATTTGTGAGACTCATAGACAAAGTACCTCTGTTTGCTACTCTGAATAATTAAAGGTCTATATTTAATCTGAATAAGGATTTCCTAGTGGTCACTTGTGTTGAAATTTGTATTCTATGATGTTTTCAATAACCTAGGGAAATGAAATCTCTCCAGGAGGCCTTTCAAAAGCAGCTTAATGAGGCAGCTGAGAAGGCAGAGAAGCAGCAGGCTACCGTGAGTGCTTCTCTTTCTTTCCTTATTTTTGTTTTTTCTTCTGTTTTTTTCTTAATCTTGCCTTGAGAATTTGTTAGCTCAAAAATCTATAAAAAAGAATGGATTTCACTTATGTGTTAGTACTCTGTAAGCTTCAGAAGAAAGGATCTGGAAAAAGTTTTAATGTTCTAAAATATTAAGATTCCTGTCTTCCCTTATTTCTGTGGAATTTAGGGATGTTTATACACTTTTGGAGACTTTAGACAGGAAATTTAGGCCTGAGTTCTCTCCCTGGTGAGGTGATCTTTATGGACCCTCATTCTTGTCTATACTAATGTAGACTGTCATACATCTATTGACTTTGTAGGAATTACTATGGATTTTCAGCAATAAAATAGATGGTAGAGTGTCTGATTTTGACCATAGTAGAACTAATTATCACTCTAGAGGGTATTATTAAGTCCCATTAAGATTTCATGCTTTATTGAAATTCTGTTTCTGGACAAGCTGCACAATTGTTCTGACTATAATGTAGCAATGTAACGTTTTGGAGCATAAATAGGCACATTTTGCTGCTGTAGGAAAAAGAAAAAAAGTGGAATCATGTTTACTAAGATGAAAGAAGGAAATTTTTCATATGTTGGTTATTAATACTCCTGCAACAGGAACACAAATGAGCATAAGTTGACTAGATAATCTCCAGAGGTTCCTTCAAACCTTAAGTGTTTTGTGATTTGAACTCTGGATTTGAAAACAGCCTGCTTGAAGTGTTTATAGATCTATTTTCTATTTCATATTGGATAATTACTGATTTTTTTACTAAGATTTTGCTGTCTTCCAGGGTCACAAAGCAAGGGTTTGTCCAAGACAGAGGTTCAAATGTAATTATTAAATTCAGAAAATAATTATAGTGCCTTATTTCGTATGACTGTGATTTCTATGTGGCTTTATTCCCTTGGTGAACAAAATGTGAGAGTGTATGTTTTCCTACCTTCTAATTAGAAACGGCTTAGATTGTAGACCACACTATTCCTATTGTAGGTTTCTTTCAGTTAATCTTATTTTTGAAAACACATTTTTCCCCTTTGTTGCTCAAAAGTATGTAAAGATACTTTTTGTTCTTGTGTACCACACAAGAACTGTTTTTGAACTGGCTTTGAACACTGTCAGGGTTGGACAACAGGTACAACCTGTTCCAGTGCCTCACCCCTCTCTCACAGTGTCCCCTCTGGTAATTTATACCCTTTACTCCCTGTTCTGTCACTACAGCTCTTGATGAAGGGTCTCTCTCCAGCTTGCCTGTCGGTCCCTTCTCATACTGGGAGGTTGTGGCAGGCACAGGGCCTGCAAGGCCTCCGTGGAGTCAGAAGCCTGAGCTAGGAAATGCCAAGTCACGATGGCTGGGCCTTAGAAGCCCCTCTCTTCCACCTTTCGGACCCTGCTTATCTCTCTGTGAGCCTAGAGGTCACTTTCCCCTGACATATAGCTTGCTTAGGCTGCCTGCAGCTGGGAACTGCTGGGGAATTCTGCCGCTGTGCTGAGCCTCCCTGAGTTATCCTGGCCAGGGCAGCCCACGGGGCACAGCCCGGCTGGAAACTGCCGCGACAGGAGGTTGCTCTGAGATCCCCATGCAGCCTTCTTCTCTCCAGGCTGAACAGCCTGTCTTCATAGGGGATGTGCTCCAGTCCTCTTTTCAGCTTTGTTGCCCTCCTCTGAGCTTGCTCTGACAGTTCCATGTTGTTCTCACCCTGGGGACACCAGAACTGTATGCAGGACTCCAGGTGGGGTTTCACAAGAGCAGAGTAGGGGGGCAGAATTGCCTCCTTCAGTATAGTTCTGAAATAAGAAAACAATTGGTATCTAGTTGTCTCTGATAAGTACTCAGAACATACTAGTTGAAAGGTGACATTTTCTCAGGTGCATTGAATGCATTCCTACTGACTTTATCAGCACAATGAATTCTAGTCCTACAAATGGAAGGTGGACAACATATTTCATTATTGAATCTCTTTATTAGATTTTGATACTCAAAACTAATTCAGGTGTGGATTACATAAATCTCAGATATAGTGAATGGACTTGTTGGTGTTTGTTGTATAGTGGTTTGTTTTTTTTTTTTTTGAGCAACAGTGCTTTGTGTACATTCAGTCCCATTCTAGCACTTTGAAGAGCACAAGATTTGTTCTACACAAAACAATATCTGCCATTAACTGTGAGAAGAATATCACCTGGTGTAAAAGCCCAGAAAAGCTCTTCTGAATGTATAACAGAATCTGGCTTGGAGTGGTGGCAGGTGCTTCAAGAATCTCAATTGTCGAGCTGTATTCCAGTAGTCGACACTAAAAGCATATTAAACTTGCTAATAATTCTGAGGAAATCAGAACTGTGTCCTTGGTTTGTGATTTACTTCTTTATGCCTCGGAGTACAATATACATAGTGGAGCTCAGCAGTACAGTGAGACTAAATGAATATTCAAAAAGTACCTCAGGATCCTCAGATGAAAATTGCAATAGAAATGGAGATAGATATTATTACTGACACACAAGGTTATTTTATACCTGTTTTCGCTATGTGTTCCATGTTTTTCTGAAAACAATGTGAAATCTATGAAAGAAGGTCTAAGTACTTTAATGCAAGACTAGTGAGAGAATGGGAGCTTGAATTTAATTCTAATTTAATTAATTGTCAAACTTGTTTCTAGTCCAATTTAAGGACATTTTATATTAAAGGACTTCGTGAAATAAATCTTGCTTTTCATCAGAGTAAATGAAAGTAGAATTACATTTCACAAAGACTGTAATTCTACTGTAAATAAAGCACTAGTGGGAGGGGGAAGGGTGGAAAGACATTTTTCTGCATTTGTGCAGGAGGCATAATACAATGCTTGCTGTATGTATGGCTGAATAAATTCAACACGTAACACCTGCCTGAAGGTGTTCTTTATTATATCAATGTAAAAGTGTAAGTAAGAATTCACAAGAATTAAGTCAAATTAAATGAAAAATAACTGGGAAATTACTTAAGGACTCTGACTAAAACAGAAGAAAAAAGAAGTCACAACAGCTATACATGAGACTTTACATTCATGTCTTCTTGTGCAATGTGCGGCAAGGCTTTTCACTACTGTTGTATGAATGATTCATCAGAAACATAGATATCAATTTTATTATGCTTATCCATTAAATGGATATCCATTAAATGCATATCCATTTTTTTCACCCTTTAAGACTAAACAAACCGAGAACTGTAGGCAGCAAAAAAGTTGCTGTTCTGAGCAGCTGCTGAAGTGTTGGTGGGTGCCACCCCTGCTTGGTAGAGGGCAGCCAGTGGAGCTGTGCTGGTAACAACCTTCTGGGGATAGAAACAGCAGCTCAGGCCTGAGAAAAGTAAAAGGACGTGTAAAGACATTCCTGTCCTTTAGGGCAGTACTCACACTGAGGGCTGGCCTGGGGATCTTAACAGGAGTGAGTGCTGCCTTTCTGGATTGTGTCTTGCGTCTGTAGAACTAACAAAGAGCAGCAGCTGTTTGTCTTGGGACAGGTCTTTCCTAGAAAATTTATGGCAGATCTCAGATACATTTATGCCTATTGTTTCAGCTGTTGTGTCTGGGATAATAAAATGTGCAGAGAAACACTAGAAAAACTATAAGGACGGTTTAAATTTTAGACTAGTCCTACATTGCAAACTTCAAGGTCAAATACAGTCTTCCAGAATGAGTTTGGTTATGAAGGAGCTTCTCTGCAGATCATCTCACACTAGAACTGTAGATTAATTTTTCAGAAGGACCATACTGGGTTTAGTTATACAATATGCATATAAAATATGTATGACATCATTCCAAATAACCTGATGTCATCTTTAACGATCATTAAAGGTTGAAAGAGTTTTTGGTTCTGTATTTAGCCTCAAATATACCTAAGCAATTTGTATTAAGTTTCCATGCAGTGAAAAAAATATTTGTAATGTCAAGCTACTATTTCTAAATGTGAAGTGGAGCCACTTCTTCCAGAAACAGAGTTGGAGATCATGGACTGATTTTCACTTTTGTTAGCAAAAAGGCACAGAGCAAATGGTACATGTAACTTGAAAGTGTCTTGTTTTGTTTGTTTGGGGTTTTTCAATGAATTTGGATAAATAGAGTAAGTATTGATTCTGTATGTCTTCATTAGGTTAAAAGGCTCTTAGAGCTTTTGGGAGACTGATTCTTTGCTTGGCTGTACTTCATGCTAATGTTTGCTTGTTAATTTTTAGCAAGTTTGAAAACTTAATTCACATTAACTGCAGCTAAAGTTTATATGAAGAGCTGGCTGGCTCTGGATTAGGGAGAAGATAAAGAAATATGGAAACACTCAAAAATAGTTTGGCTAAGTAGAGTAAGTTTAATTTACCTTTCTGTTTTATTCTGTTGGTATTTTACATCATGCTAGCAATTTTAAAGAAGATATTCTAACAGATTATCTGGCAGTACAGTTACAGTACTGTCTGTCACAATAAAGGAGAAAATTTGTCTGTGTAATTTCCTTTTTTGCTCAGTGTTCATTATGAGAAATGAGAATTAAGTAACACTTCATGTATAACTTATATAAAGGAACCATAAACAATATGGGTATTTTAAAATCAGTAAGATTTTTGTAGTAATAAAAGGTTAACAGAATGTGGAAAATTTGATTCAGTATTATCTCCATACTTGGAAAATTTTTAGTAAAAAGATCTGGTGTTCTTTTCCCTTCAAAAATATTAGTTTTTTCTAGTAAAAGCTTTTATGACTATTCATAAAGTTCTAAATGTTCCTTTGATGAAAGTTTCATTTACTAATCAAGCTATAACTTGCAGCTTAAAAGTTACATTCATCTTAGTAAGACTAATGGGTGAAATGTATTTAGCTTTGCTTTTAAAAGTATTTAGCACTGTGTAGAACACTTTTTGCCCAAAGGAAAGAATATTTTCTATGTTTTACATAATAGCCTAGACGGTCCTGTCTGGCTTCTGAAGTAAATTTTTACATTATATCATGAAAAGTAGACCAGGAAAATGAACACTGAGTATGTTAGGGTTTCCAGATATGGCCAAAATAGTCAGGTGTTAATGAAGGAATTTCAGTTAAACCTTAACTGCTCCTTTTAGTCCTGAACAAGACACGGGAAGTCTGGAGGTAAGTGAATATGATTACAGTTGAGCCGTGACTGTGCACTAATGATGTTATACTGGGATTTTACCATCCTGTCATGAATAACTACTATTGTCTGACTCTTACTGTTAGATCACTACCATCTGCTAAAGCATTCTCTATTTTGATGGGGGAAAATTTAATTTACATTTCAAGGTCACCAACTGCTGTGAGTAAAGTCCACTGGATGGAAACTGTTGTCTTTAATAAACATAATGAGCCCCAAAACACACAAAGCTCTGAGTGTCTTGAGTGACTGTCTCCAGGATATGGAAGCAGTGTCCTTGCTTAGTACTGAAAAGTTCAGCCTTAGAACAATGTATTTTCATTAAGTACTGTCATAATTGCAGCCAGATAGCAATTAAAGGCAGACAACATGTGGAAAGAGGTGAATGTTATTTTTTTTCTCTGTTAATTTAGAACTGGGTATAAATGTCTGTTCTTGCTTATTATACTATCAGGATTTGATGCCTGAAAGGAGTATTTTTACATCTCTCCTTGTTAATCATATTATCCTTGAGACTTCTGCCTTAAAGCCTGAAGCTATACATATGGTACACTTAAATGGATAGGTGAAGTTATCCCTTTAATGGCTCTAGCAGACAAGTACCTGTGTAACTCTCCATATCTATACTTTGTGACTGAGTGGTTCTTCATTTAGAGACTTAGTAGAAGAGTTTTAAAATGCTGTTATAATTTAAAGGCAAAATTAATGAGTTCCTAAATAATACTTCTGTTATTTTAGAAAAGGAAGTGATGTAAAAATATTTTTTAATTTGTTAATTTGTTTATTTTAATTTTTGTTTTTTCAGCTAAGCTAAAATGGTATGTTTGCACTATGTAAGATGTCCATATCAGTGATGCATGTTTATGTTAATAGTAATTAACAAAATTTAACTAGCATAGATTACTGGATAAATTTATAGTACTGGACTGTCTTAAATGTCTCTTCCCTAAAAGATCCAAGCTATGTAGAGATAATAATTTTGGTATCACATCTCTTTAATTATTTAATATATATTCATAGCTAGAAGTGAAGTGCCTTGAAGGAATATTAATATCCCTGAGAGATAGATCTAAGAAAGGAAGCACTCTTTAATGGAAGTCAGTATATTTTTTCAGTATTTAAAGGTAGGTAGCTGGCAATTCCTTTGAATAGCTGAAAAAACAAAGTAACCACAATAAATAGCTGTATTGTGCTTCTCCCCATTCATCTTGATCTGATATTTTGATTATGACCTTTATTTTTTGTTGTGCAAAATCTTCATGCTTACTATCTATACATGTTCATTTCAGTATTTGTGGATGCCATTACTTGGCAGATGCATCATTCTCTGCCAGTAGGTGGATGTGGAATCAATATTTCCACAATCAAAGCACTTAGACAGAACTTTGGAAGAGTTTGTAAAGAAGTTCTGCTTATGTATGTCAGGAGGCACTAGTTTTATGGACCCCCTGCCTACGTTTCTGTCATCAGTGATGATAGCGTTCTCTGGCTTCGCTTTTGATACAGGTGGGAGTGCTGTCAGTTCAGTGATGTGTTTTAAATTACTGACACGTCTACTTGAGTGTGGACATGATTATAAGAACAGCTGTCATATCATGTAGATTCAGGGTTCATTTTTTTATGTACTTGACCTCCAAACCATTAACCTTTGGGTCAATGTCTCTATAATCTGAATCTGTTTTCTTACAGGAGTTTTGTTTATCTGTTGTGATGTCAGAACAATTATAGTTTCCCTTCACTGTGGGTAGAGTTTTGTATCAACAGCATGGACATAGGGTAAAATGGGATGAGTATTTTGCTAATTAAACAATCCAAAAGCATCTCATTTCAAAGTAACAGAAATGTCTTCTTTTAATCCTAGTTGTTTACAATTATGTCCTCCTTCCTCCCATTGTATTCCATAAGCTGTGATTAAAGCTCAGTCCTGAAAAAACTCTTTTGTAAAAATAATTTCTAAAACTGTGTTTGATTAAATTCAGTCTCAAGCCTTGTGACTGGAATTTCCACTTTCCAAGTCAAGTCATTGACTTAAGTAGGTTCTAAAGACAATATTTGAATGCTTTCATGTGTAACACACTTTACTCCACAGGTGGGTCTGACTAGAAGCAAGGTCTTTGTCTAATTAGGACCAGCACTGTAGCATTGAAATAAAATAACTGTGTTAGAAACCTGCTCTCATAGATATGTTCTTTTCGTTAGAAAATCAGTTAATATTGTTTCAAAAATCCTCAGTTATTGATGATCACATTGAACTACCTTGTGAAAAATAAACACTATGTCTACTGGTACAAAACAAAAGTAAGCCTATTACATACAGCAGTTTTCTTCTTTTGATTATAAGTTTTCTAGAAAATATGCTAAATGTTTGTAGATTATCCAATACTTGACTGTGGCCTTTTTGTACCAATTTGGTATGTAAGCAAAGTTTTTTGATTTGGTGGTTGCTTTTTTTCCAAAACTTTTAAAAGCATTAAAAAAAATAAGTAGTGTTTACAATTACATCTCAACAACTCCTACTCAATATTTCTTTAAAATTGTAGATTAACTTTTTGAAGACTGAAATGGAAAGGAAGAGCAAAATGATTCGAGACCTCCAAAACGAGGTAAGAGGAATGTTTGATTGTCATCTCAATTCAGATTTCATATTGGAAGAGAATGTGGTTTGGCTTCACATGTAAAGCACATTATTGTAGTAGGCAAAAAAGGCACCAGTGAAATTCTCTGAACAGAAAAGCAAACAAAAATGACTGTGTGCGTTTAGAAATAGTGTTTTATTGAATGCAGTGGTTGACTCCATGCTAGTGGTGTTTAGTTTGATAGCACACTTCTCCTGCTTTTTCAGAAAGGAAGTTCTGTAGCTTATTGACACACAGTGAAAGTTTGTTCTTATTTTTATTGCTTACTTTAGAAATAAACAGCAAGAGGAGGAGAAAGGAACTGCAATATTGGAACTGAGAGTCTTAATAAAATTTTAAAAAACCTCAAACTTCTAAAATGTTTTTTTAAGCTTTGCGTGCCATGAATACCAATCCCAGATTGATCCCAAAATACTAAATAAAATATAAAACATGTTTTAAATAATGTTTATTGCTATTAAACTGAATTTATTTTGAAATTTGGTCTTGGAATAGAAACATGAAATATTTGAGCAGCATTATATTTCTTTTCTCCCTTATCCCTTTCTCTCCACACAATTTGCCTAAATCATGATGTAGTTTCTCTTTCCATTCCTTCATTTTGCAAAGAACATTGCACTTAAAAATATTTTATTCATATGATGCCTTGTTCTCTTGCCAACCAGTCTTGTCTTTATCTGCTTTGTTCAGTTCTTTTGCTTTTCTAAACTATTCTGAATCTATGTGTGTGAAAACTTAATCTCTTTAAAGCTGTCATTTAAACAGGAATCTCTGATTTCTTTGGTCTATGAGATTATATGTATATGGTCAATCTGAAAAATGTGTACATTGCTTTTTAAATCATAAATGTATCCTAGTTTTGGATTAATTTTTTACAGTAGAAAGGAAGGGGGCATGGCCGGACCATAATGTTATTTGATACCATCTCGCATCGCTTGCCAGGGGCAGGAAGAGGGGACTCTCTCATTTCTGGTTCTGTTTGAGAGAGAAGAGCATGGTGAAATGGTCTGGTACAGTTTTACTTTCTGTGTAATTTGTTTTTCTCATACCTTTTGTTATTAATATTATTGCTGTTACTGTTCATTTTCTTATCTTATTGATATTTCTAGTAAATTGTTCTTATCTCAACCTGTAATTCTCACCTTTGTGCCTCCAGTCCCCAAATCCTTTCCAGGAGTGGAAAGTGGGAGGGGAAGGAGGTGAGTGACGAGCTGGTTTGGGAGAGTCTTACTAGGTCCTAGCATGTTATTTAGGCCATGCTCTCAGTTTCCTTTATCTGCAGTCAAAAATGCCTTGCTTTCTCTTCTCATCTGTTATCACTGGATGCTTTGCAATTGAGCCTTTAAACTCTAATAAATCATAGCAGCCTCATCCTATTGAGCAGTCATTAAAAAATCTTCTCTCTTATTGAGCTCAAATACATCATTAATCAGCATTCAAACTGTCTGACTGTTAATGATTTGCTTAGGTGGGTCAGTAGACTTCTCTAATATTTTCCGTATTTATAGCAAATTTTAGAAAATCTACTTTGAAAGGAATCTTTCTTTTGGCACCAAATATCGACTACTATGTGGAAAAGGAACCAAAAGCTATACCTACCTAATGGCTTTCTATTACATTTTTATACCATGTTCGTTAGTTCCCTGAAAGTAACCACTTATATAAGTTTTTCTTTTTAAATTTGACTGAATTTAAATTATATTATTTTTGAGGAAGTATTATGTTATTTAGGTCCTGCCTCCAAACACTGAACAAGCATTGCTTTTAAAAATCTCATAAATTTGGATATGGTATATATATAAATAATTGATAGCATTTTATGTGTAGGTTTTGAAACAATAACCTGCATACAGCTATATAGAGACAGGTAAGGAAAATGCTTCCTTCATAGCTGCTCTTGTTCATTCAAATACTGCATTCACCCCCATTTTATATTGCCAAATTGTGAATTTTGCAATCTTAGGCTCTTCCGTGACTGTAAAAATAATTTCCTATTTAGTTCTGCTCTTTCAGCACATACCCTAGTGCCATTCAGCTTTTCTGTTTGGAGATTCAAATAGATGGCAGCAGCCTTCCAGCTGAATGCAGCAGTTGTCATGTAGTGTGTGAGGAGAGGACATTGTGCAGAAAGGCAAATTTTAGCCTATTCAAGGCTTTGGGAGAAAAAAAATTAACAAAAAAATTGTCTGTGGTATTGAGATAAAAATGAGCCAGGTAGAGCACAAAGGAATTAGGTGTCTCAAAGTCATCTGGGTTTTAGAAGTCTTTAAGTGCTTCCTGCAAATACCACAAAATAGCTGTCAGACTTCCAGCTGTAACATCATGTGGACTGTGTCAATTTAGTCTTAAAGGATTGGCATGTAAACAGATATGCTCTTCTTTCAAGCAATTTCTGATATTGACAAAGAAACCTAGAAGTTTGGAAATGCAGAAGCACAGGTAGAACTAAGAAGCCGAAATGTAGAATAAAATGTAAAAATGCAAAAATGTAGAACAAAATAGAATATGTATAAAAAGAGATGCTTTAAAAATTTTCACTTTTGTAAATGGCCTGATACAGAGTAAGCAGCTCACTTCTAGCATATCATATGGTTTGTGGGAAATTGTGCCTGTATTGGGCCTGATAGTTACTCATATTTGCCAGGAATATAAGCCTGTAAGTGTTTCTGTTTAAATCCTGAACTGCTGGGATTTTGGAATGACACAGCTTTATCATCAATGGGGGTTTTGGATTTTGAGAAATAATTATGGTTAATGAGACATGCAGCTGTTGAGCAATAAGTTCATTAAAAGATTGCTTCTCTGCAAATTCCGCTGCCTTCAGAAATCTGGAAATATATTTTGCAGATAAAAATATACCACTTTTAAATAATATGCATAGTCAGCTGTAGCTTAAAGAAACATTCATGAGAAGTGCACCTGCTGTGACCTAGACCCAGCTCTTTACAATAGTTCTGAAAAGCATATGAGCATAAAAGTTACGAAATTTCCTGGCTAGACGCATTACTTAGATTGTCTGCCTATGACTGACAGACCAATATTCAATTTGATATAATTGGACTGGATAAATCACATTTTTATATCCCTTCTTTTCCAACAAAGTATTAATGTGAAATCTACTGGCAGTCGGATTTGTTTTCTTGTCCAAACCTATTAATGATTAATTTCAAGTAAAAAATCTAATTGGTATTGAAATATATCTATTGAAATAGAAAATTCGGTTGAAGAAAAAAAGGCGAAAAATGATTCCACAGCTCTTTGTGTGTATTCTGTTAGACTAATTGTCTTCAATGGTTTTTTTTGTTTCGTGCAAGATGGAAAAACTTTCGAAGAGGGGATTAAAATCTCTGTGTTTTTTCTTTCATGACCTTGAAATACAAAAAAAAATTCAGGACTAGATCATCTATTTGAAAGTAGATGTGCAAGTATTGAATCTGCACTCATTAAGAAGCCAAGCTTGGATCTTCCACAAGCTCATTGTCATGCAGGATGACAGCTCTTATTCTGTGAGTCTGTGAGGTAAAGCTGAGCTGCTGAATGCTGGTGAGGCATGACCTGCCCAGGGGCACTGTGTTAGTAATTTGAGGTTTAAATACTGTGAATTGAAGGACTAGAGAACAGAGAGAGAGGGAGAGAGAAGATGAACCAGAATGTATGTATTTAAAGCATCTCTGACAGTGGTTACAGCTTTCTGGGTGTGACTTGTTTAGATTTTATATAATGTTGAAAAACTCAAACCCAGTAAGACCTGTTGTACGACACTTGGTGAGCCTTAAATCCCTGCAATTCAGTTAGTTAACTATTTTCAGCTAAGCTGCCTGACTGTACAACAATTACTCAGATCAATAGTGACAAATTTCCCCCCCCCCCCCCACTGCTTTAGAGTTTTGTTTGTTTGTTCGTTTGCTTATTGTTCTTTCTCAATCCTTACTAGCTAATTTTACTGTTTTCATATCACCCCAGAACCTGTACCTAAATTGCATAATTGACATGCTTGGTCTTTTGCTTTCTGTGTAAGCCTTTTCCTCTTACAGAACCAGTCAACAGCAGCTGGGCTGTTCTACATAATTTACCTCCCTGTGCCTTTGTAGATGAGGCATCACTCAAATCTATGTGCACATGGGGTTTCTTAATGTATTTGTATTTCTTAGATACACAGAATGGTTTGGGTTGGAAGGGACCTTAAATATCATCTAGTTCCAACCTCTCTGCATTAAAATTTCACTGTTTAATTCAAGGCCCTACACAGCAACGATGGACCTGGTGCACAGTCATCTTAAATAACCAGACAGACAAATTAATCCCTTCCCCTGGCCTCCTTTTGGGCTAGCAGTTTGGGTTTGGTTTGAAGCTAGTTTTGTCATCATCACTTACAATGTCCATATGTACTCGCTGTGGTTGGTTAGCTCTGCTAACTGGTGCCTGGGGGCAGACAATGAGTGCAGCTCATGTCAGACACAGCACATGCTGATGCAGTCCTCAAAGGATAGACTGGATGGCTGTTTCTCTTGTAGTTTTCCTGGTCTTTCTTCGGATAGATTTGTCTTTCTCTTTATTTTTGGGTTTGCAACACTTTTGTCTTAACCAGATGAGGTTTTTAATAGTATAGGTTTTTAATGGATGAAGTTTTAAGTATTCATGATAGTTCTCCAGGTTCATGAACTTTATTCAATTTTCCAATCCATCAGCATGTTAGTGTTTTGCTATCTTGGTTTGTAATCCAGAAGGTATCTCAAGAAAGTACAACTAGTTAATTCTGATATAATTTTATGGATCACTTACCACACTCAGCAAATTATTTTGCATTCTGATAATCTCAAGGAGGAATTATAAGCATTCTTTATGTGCATTCATAGGCCTCTGAATATTTTAGTGGCTTTGAGCTGAGGTAGAAGTGAAGAATTATTTCTCTTACTCACCAGATATTTTTGGTTCTGTTTTTAGTAAAAAGGTCCTGTGAAGGTTGA